CAGAGTGGTAAATCTTAATAATCCATTTTTTTTGAACTTATCTGAAACATGTAAGAAATATATTTCATTCTGCTTGACTTCTTTATGATACAGTTGCTTCAGAGTTTGAACATCTTGCACTAACTAGAACAAAACTATCTTCCTTACTTTAAATTATGCAGGATGATACCATGTCTTAAGTTCTTGAAGGTTAAATTTTGATGGAGGAATGTTCATTAATTTGTCTTAAGGACAAATCATTAGTTTGTCTGAAGTTCATTTTCAGGAAGAATGAACTCAAATAGGGAAATCAAAGGTTTTACCTTTGTCATGGTGTATAAAATGGAAGGTATACATTTCAAAATTTTGAGAATTCCATTTGAAGATATCTGTTGATATGGATCTCTCTTTTGGCCTGTAATGTTGTTACAGATTATCCTTATGTGCCTTGGGTATTCATGCAATGTTCAKTCCAAAACATGGAAAAGAATCTTTGTGCTCTTTTTAATGGAAAATAAACCAGGCTCTTACTTTGTCCGATGGAAAGTAACTTATTTATAATACACTTATACCTATCCAATTGGAAATCATTTTTCCCACCTAGGGCATGTATTATTATTCTGTTTTTCTTTATTAAAACACGTACTTCTGGCATTGCTTTTATTTCCTGCACAGCATATTCTTTTCTTACAGAATGTACATACTCACAAATGTATTTGCTGTCTGAATGGCAAATAACTGTTACCCAGATGGAAAATAGGCATGTTATAATCAAAAATCACATTCTGCTTTTAGCCTTAACAATTTATGGTTCAATAAAATGCAGGATTTYATTTCTGAACCCATATCAGAAGCTAATTTACAAAAATATGCCATATATAATTAATAGCCTTGCAGCCTTCAGAATAGCAGGCAAGTCAAAGAAAATTTGAAGTGAAATGAAAAACAGCAAGATACCTCCAAAGCCTAGTTCCCAAGTTAAATTTAGAATGGCAGAAAAAAAAAATCAAAATTTAGCTTAGAGTAGAACCAAATAATTTCATTGATGTAGTTCAGACCTTATATGGCTTCAAGTATTTCATGAAAAAACCAAATTTTTTCCTTAGATTCAAATCTGACCTTGTTCCTCCTTTAGTAGAGTTTAAGTGTTAAACAAATGAAGGTAAAGTGCTTAGGACTGAATTTTCTAACATTGTGATCAACAAGCACTTGTTTACCCGATAGATAGTCCTGTTATCTAATGACATCAGAACTATTTGAAATGAGACCAAGCGTTCCTTTAGCCCAACACCCTCTGTCCATCAGTGGCCAAACCAAAAAATGCTTGTTTGCATTTTCAGTGCAAGATACTACATGAAGTGTGTGAGATTCCCAGAACTTCAGAACACAGCCTTTCATTTCTCATCCTTCAGGCTAAATAACATCTATCATCAAACATTTTGCAGAGTCTGACTTGGTTATTGACATTTAGCTTTTATCATCTTGCCATTTTCGCTAAGTAGTGTAAAAATCAGGGTACCCATACCRGAGAAAACTGTGATACTTTACCAAAGAAATCTAATGGTCTTGGGATTTCATTTCTTAACTTTCTGCTTATTGTGTAATTTGAATTGCTTTTTTAATGAGATAATGACACACAAGAAAGATAGCATTAATACTAAATGGACTGAAATCACAGTTAACAAAACAGAAAGATTTATTTTTATGGCCCAAATACCATTTCAAAATTTCACCTTGATGGGGGTTTTTTTTGCTTGTTTTTAATAGAAAAAAAAATAGATGTATTTTAGAATAAACAACATATCCCATTGAGGCTTTTATCTGTAGAATATCTTGATTATTTCATCGAAATATCTGGCAGAAATATCTCTGAGTATTAAGCCAGAAATAAGAAAGCTGGATTTTTAGGCAAAGCAAAGATAACAATGATCTCAGTGTTCAATCTGTCTTGATACTGACATTATSCAGGTTTGTCTAATTAATGCCTCTGCAGAAAACCTGGACAAGGACAACAGAGATACCTTCACAAGCTTTGGGGAGCAGACTATAGCTGCATTCCTATTGTTTTGGATATTTTGTGTGACATATTTACCAGCATAAAAAGGGAAATATCTTTACTGGCTTCACTGGAAAGTTAAGGAGTAATTGTTTTGTTTTGATTTTACACAGATCTTAGATAAGGACATTATTACAAAAGCTTGCTTTTGAATTGTAAACTTCATTAAGTGGTGTCTGTAAAGAGTCTCTAAATTAATACTGTTCATATGTGGCCTAGCYYTGACTATTTTGGGTGATTACTGAAGGTGTTGCATGACACAATATTCTGTAATAGTTATGTAAGTCATTATACCAGCCCCTGAACTTCTGATTTTATTTAAATATCTGCTGTGAAATTCCTTTTTGCAAATTGAAATTCATAATTCCCTGAGCATGCCTCACTTTGTCTTTTGACACAACAAAAAATAATTTCTGCAAATGCCTGACATATTTCATGAAAATGCAATTGCAATAGAATTTGCCTCAGCTTATGATAGTTAGAGAACTACTCTTTGGTTGGTTTCAAGGTGTTATATGAGCCTAAATTTACAAAAATATTTTCTTAGACCCATTTAAAAAAACAAATGGGGCTTTGTCATAGGAGCTTTCTTTTCCTGATGTTTCTTATTTCTGATTTCTCAGTTAGAAGGCAGCATATACATTTGCTTGGTATCTTTAGACTTTGTTATCCACAAAAATGTTCTGGTATTTTTCTTCACTTTGTTCTGTACACCATCTCCAGTTTCTGTCTATTTAAATGCACAACAACTTGGATCAGAGACTGTATATAAAATGGGGGTGATTTTATCCTGCAGGGAAAACAATTGAAAGAGAAACCCACATGCACAGCAGTTTTTGTCCCAAGTGGKTTTTGGGGAGTTCAGGAGCTCAGTGAATCAGCCTGGGAGCTCACAGCAGTGGTTTTATTGCTTGTGCTGCTGGGGCTGCAAAGGCAGCTCATCCCCTGCCCWGCTGCATCTCCCTGTGGGATTATTCTCTCACACACAGAAGACATGCAGGTGGTAGAGCCTTTTTTCTCTTGAAAACAACAGCTGCACAGCAAAAGTCAGCAAGAAAAATCCAGCTGGAGGGCTGGGTCTTGACATTTCCCTTCATTCTGTGGAACCAATAATAACATTGGGTACAGCTGCTGAGCTCTCTCTTTACCCGAGGAATGTTCCACATTGTTGTCTTAACATCCGTGGAAAGTATTAACTTGGTTTTCAGTTTTATCTGATCTGGCTTTCTTTTTACTGGAAAAATATAGAAAATTAAATGGCATAAAGTTTAGAAATTGCAGCACAAATCCTTTAGAAATGGCTTAATTAAGTTAATGAACATTTTCAAATATGGCTTTCTGCTTTTGGGAGTATACCTGAATCCATCTGAAATTCATTGACTTCATAGAGCAGGTGCAATTGTCAGAAACTCTCATGTTTAGACTGCCCTAGGAGTTGTTTCTTCCCTCGAGCTAGAATTATTATTCTATCTTTGTCTAGTAGAAACTTTATGGTCTGAGCATGCCCTGTCTCTCAGTGGGCACTGAAGTGAGTACCAAACTTAGCAAGGTATTTTCTYTAGGTTTGGTATATGGTTGGCATTTGTGAGGGTGACCCGGACCAGTGAAGAGGTGCAGAGCCTTCCAGGGTTATTTGCACCAAATTTTGGCTAAATGAGGAATTTAGGTGCCAGTGCTCCTTAGCCACGTATCCCATTTATGTGTCTGGGGGGACAGTGTATGACAAAGTAACAGTTGCATGCTTCAATACAGACTTCACTGAAAYGCTATGTTCTAAAATGTGATTAAGAAATGTATTAAGTTCTGCATCACAGTTACAAAAATATTAAAATACACCTTTTTTGTTTAATTCTAGCTACCTCAGAGAACCCTCATGAACACAGTAAGTATCAAGCCGATATTGAATATTGTTATTTTAACTTTCAAAAGGAAGGTATTTCTTTATTTTTACAAMGTTTTAGCAGCTTAAGATAGGATTCATCAGCACAAACTCACACAACATTGTGACTTATGAAACTGGTTTTCAATGATTCACTCTTTAATGCAGGACCAGGTGTGTTTCACAGGTGCCAGCTTGCATGGAAACCACTTTCCAATTCAGCTGAGACCCCCCTATGCCTTTTTTTGTCCATGGCAGCTTTGTACTGGGAAACAATCAAGGTGGTCACAGATGAGGAAGGATCTGTGCAATGCTCTGGCCAGTCCTCTGGTTCAAGTTTTAGAGATTAATTTTTTAGTGTGCTATAGTGCTCACCTCTTGACATTGGAGCTGCAAATCAGAATTTAACATATATTTAACATTCTTCTGAAATGACATTTCTTTTTTTTTCTGTCCCATAATGTTGGGATTTGGATAGCACACTGTTTTTAATTAGCACAAAATTGCATACAGATTATACTATAAAACAGAATATCCATTATAGCTAGKGGTTCACAATAAGTTTATGGGCTCCCCGTACTAGCTAACATGAAGAAAATTATATCTATAGTCCCTCCAAATCCGGGACACAGAGAAACATGGAAAGTTTTAGTTTTTTTCTTTTATRTAGGATACTGACCATTTATTTGTCATTCTTTAAAATAAAATCCYGCTTCTGTTGTAATAAAAACTACCATCAGTCCTATATTAAACATCAAGAATAATTTTTCTTTATAGGACAGTGATAGCAATCACAATTAATAGTGGAACCAATTCATAWTTTTAGAAATCCTATGATATTTCCAAAAATCCACAGAAAATAATTAAACCATTAAAGAGTTTTAAAAGTATTTTTATGATTTAATTTTATAGGGAAAAAATAGTGAAACACTTTTCCTTGAGAAATATACTTATCAAAAAATTCTGAAGTCTAGTGGAAAATATGTATTGCAAAGTCATCTTTTAAAATCATACTGAGAATCTTTTATTTTTTTAAAATCTTCTAAACATTAAAAAGCTTTCTAATATGGGGGTTCTTTTTTGCAGAGCATGAACGTGTTAAACGTGAAAAAGTTGCCTCTCAGACTAARCCAGGTAGGTTTGGTAAAGTGACCTCCAGTTACTCCCAGCTCCACTTCATAAGGACATGTGTGGTCTGCAAAACTTGGAGACTCCTGTGAGCTAGGAATAGGTTTTTTGTTTTGTGCCGTTGGTCATTTCAGTGTTCAAGGGTGAAATTTTTACTAAAAGGGTTCGGCTGTCACAGTTTTCAACTGTTCTTGTGATTTTTTCTCACTGGTGTAGTAAAAAGCATTAGCAAAACTCATTATCCAGAGTTTGAGGAAGGGGTTCTTTATTGCCTTCCAGTACATCAAACAGCTGTACTGGGAATTAACCCTTCTCAACCTTTTCAGTAAACTAATTATTACATGAAGTGAGTGTGGTGCCCCAAAAAAGGAGAAGCTACAATCTCACTGAGCAGCCTGTGCAGAGGCAGCCTCCAGTTCCTGAATCTCRGAAGAACGGGAGCTGAACTAAAAAGAGCAATACTAATCCTGGAYTGACTATGTGCTCAGGTAAACTGTAAGTAAGAACAACTCATTGCAGTGAGCAGGACAAGGGGACCTCTTTCAAATCAGAGCTCTGTGCCTCATCATATCTTYTGAGAAGGAAAACACTCAAGGATCCACGCTCATGTCTGGTGTGAATTAACAAGGCTAAGAGCGTAACCTCACTGACAGCTCAGCTATTGATGCTCAGTTTGCATCACTCCTGAGTGCTTTTAGCAGAAACAGTGGGCACTGGAAATCAAGTATCAACATCCCATTGACCTTTCCTGGCAGTGCTGCTGTTTGAACTTTGCATTGAAATTAAGTGCTCATGAATAAGTGATTGAATAAATGTTTTGAGCCTTATGTGTTCAATGAYAAGCAAGCAGACTTAATTTCGTTACATTTTTTTCCTTAATTTTTAAGTCAATTTCTCCTATGTATTTAGTATTTTTCTCATTCATTTTTATAATGTACAATTTCTACCTTGTAACTTAAGTATTTTCATAGACCATTTGAGGTTTCCTGGAAGCTTTGAGTAGCTGATTTAGTGAAGACGTATTGGTTTTGAGTCAACAGAGCAAAATTTTATCCTTCACTTTATCCTTCAAGTACACATAGGCTGAGCTTTTTATTTAACTTGTTGATCACTATTTTTGTACAAACAGCCAGCAGAATGCTTCAGCCAGCAGGTGGGTTCAGCTGAGGCAGGAATGTTCTAGTGAGGAAGCCAAGCTTGGTGACCACAGTGGTGGCCAGAAAGTGGGTTGCCTGGACAGGTGGCTCGAGCACTCACCTTTCCTGCTAAGTGAAATCAGTCCTGCTACACAATTAGCCCAATCTCATCCATACAGCAGCAGGAAAATAAATTTCCTTGGCAAAGCATTCTCAAAGACAGCATCGTGTCACAAGCCAGTACACTGGAGTGATTAGGATTTTACTCAAGTATAATACAGTATATTCCAGACCCAAAGCCATTGGAATTTAGGCGCTTGAATTAAAATAAATAAATAAATAAATAAATAAATAAATAAATAAATAAATAAATAAATAAATAAATGAAGAAGGATAGAGAAATGCTTGCTAAGTTTCCTTTAGCATAAAAACTCTATCCTCAGGTGATTAATGCTTGCTTTGGAGAACAGTGGCTGTTTTGAGTTTCACTTGATGGCTGGAAGTATTAATCTGCAGGCACTGGTGGTAATAGTGCTTCTGCCTGCTGTGTGCCAAGGAGAGCTCTTGAGTTAGCAGCTTGAATTATAAAAGCTTCATTCTGTACAAAACAGTGGCCTCTTTTTTCATCTTGATTCAGTGCAGATTCAAACCATTTTTTTCTATGCCTCCCTTCCTATGCATCAGACTTAGAATTATCATATGACTGAGATACCAAAGAATTTCAGAAAATATATTGATCCTGTAGGGAAATGTTTAAATTAGAGAGTGTTTTGTGTATGTCAGTGAAAGCAAGTAGAGCAAGGGAATTCATTCCTGATGTAATTCTGCTGAAACTGCCTGCAATACACAGAGAAATGTTTACAGCCGTATTTTTTTCCATTTAAATTAGGTACATCAGGGAAAAAATTAATATTAATGTTGTAGTCTGTAAAACTGGGGCTCTGCAGAGCAAATAAATTCTCTCCAATGAAAGATTTTAGAACTTTAAACTATGGTCTTACTCAAAATTAGAGCAAAATCGGGATTTTTTTTTTTTTTAATATTCATAACATTTATTTTGGACTCTTTATAGCTTTATGAAGTTCTCAAAATTGTTTATATTTTAATTTGCAAGACTCCTCATGAYATGGTAAACAAAAAATACATGAAGAATTAGAAATATGACTTCTGTTCTTGACAAAATAAGAAGTATTATCCTCATCACAAGTTTTTCTCTGCTTTACRTCACACTAAATGGGGTGAACAGAATTATTTTGTGAAGCTTCCTGATGTCTTGAAGTGTATTCCTTATACAGAGTGTTCTCTTTAAGTCTGGATATCCTATTACTTCAGTTTTTCTTCTGGCTACAGACAATGGCTAAAAATTCAGAGTAAAAGCCACACAGCCGCCACCTGGAGATCTGCCAGGGAATGCACCAGGATGTTCTCCCGTGGAATCAGCAGATCTATATTTGCTGTGTGGGTAGGTTGCAGAATAGGCAGGTGAATRAATACCAAAGAATTACTGTATTCATTCCCAGATGAATACAAATCCACAGGCCTGTCCAAGATGCTCTGTTTCCAAGAATAAAATCATTTTGAGAAGAAATACTGCCCCTGCTTTCAAATGGGTCTGTCATCCACTCAAAAATTCACAAATRTCATCCACTTATTTCCTTACTTATTTCCTCACAGACTTATTTTATTAGAGTTACAGAAAAAAAAGCATTGCTGTACATTCTCAACAGAATCAGGAAAAGGAAAAATATCTTATTTAGTGTTCAAAAGTGTTGGGATGATATCCAAAGAAAGAGAAACCTTTTGATTTTTTTTCTTATCATTAATCCAGTGTATGTTAAAGGGCCTTTGTTCAAAATCAGCAGGCTGTGGGTTTTTTCTGTGTTGGTACATAGAAAGCTTAATGTCCTAATCTAAACTGGRGAAATGCACTATTATATGTTAAAGCTCTTCTAACAGCACGAAAAAAATAAAAAAGATACGTTCAATAAATTGCACCTTCAAGCAGTTGGCTGAGCTATAAAAACATTTCCAGCTTCACCAGCATTCAAAATATGGAGATGAGATTTTTAATTCACTGCTTTCATAAGAAGCTGATAATAACAATAGCTGAATAAGGGGGATAAAAAAGCCCTAAACTTAATAAAAATTAAGAGAAATTAAATTGCCGCCTACCAGACAACAACTGAAAAGCATAGGAATGCAGAGCTATATTTAATTTCCAAACACTAGAAAATATCAGTAACCATAGAGCTTTTTCCCTGCTTATATTTGACCCCATCAGTATGGATTTTCTTTCAGAAACAGATCAAACAAAAAAGACAAGGGGACAAAGACATATCTGCCCAACCTGATCTCCATCCAGCCATTGTCATCTTCAATCTGACACCTTCTAGAGGTCTTAGGGRACAGGAAGGGGACAGAGGCATGTGGATGCAAATTTCTTTCAGCAAGAGGAAGGGCAAATAAAATTTGAATGTGTCTTGAGCATATTTAGGAAGAATTTAGTAATGTTTGTGAATGTTGAAATGTTAGGGGAGAGGCTTGAATTCAGTTATGGAAGAAGAGTCAAAATGGAGTAGAGCTACACAAGGATGACRTAGGGTGAATTTAAAACCAACCAAACTGAGCAGAGTAGAAATCTGAATATAAGCATCACAGTTTCTACCTGACTGGGTCATAGGGAAGATTTGATTAGAAACTGTCATCCACCAGCTTACTTGTAGAAGAGGTAGCTCAGGTCTGGTGTCTGATGTCATCATGGGTCCACATAATCTGAGAATTGTGCTGGGCAAATCCACAGCTTGAGAGCATGGGGACATGGAYAGCTTTTCCCATGAGATTAGCAGAAGTTCAGGGCTGCTCCAAGGTTTTTGTGATAGATATCCATCTAGGTAGGCTTGTCCAGCAGCAGATGGTGCAGACTGGCATTCAGACTGTCCCATGTGTCCTTCCATGAGCTATTACGTGCTTGGGAGTCTCCACACCCTTTTCATCTTCAGAGTGCGGACACAGGTGGTGCCTTGCATAAACAGGAGTTCTTAGTGTTAATACCACAACTGTCGGGTTTAGACACTCAGGAAGGTGATGTTGGCAAAGGCCTAATGGATGCAGGAATAGGAWGGTTTCCACCTGAGTGCCTGCCTGAAAGGCGCCGAAGGGGGTGAGGCTGTTTTCCAGCAGTTGACACGTTCAGCCAGTAATTTTCTTTCTGCATGGAGTATGATCTCCCCAGGCAGTCAGAACTCATAATGCAAGCATGCTGTTTTACAGTGCTACAATAGGATAGCGATGCTAAAGACATCTGTTGATTTTGTCATTGTGAACCATATGCATAATATCACCTATAGAAATATTTTTCCAATTACTCGCACCTATGCTAACACGCTGTGATTTTAATGCTGCTTTCACCATACAGAAGAGAAAATTAAACAAAAGATAACTCCCACTGAGAAGTCAGGTAAGAATAAATGATTGTCTCCTGATTTATGGAGGGGGCAGGGGGTGTTAAACACTAGTGAGCACTCACCTAGTGTTATACATTTGCATTGCAATAATTTTTTACAGTATTTTGAAATACGTAACTGGTAACATTTGGAGCAAAACCAGCAGAGAGTCAATTGCAGATACTGTTCTGCTAAGAATTGTCTTTCCAATTCCAAAGGTCAAGACCTTTCAGCTCCTTAATTTCTTGCTCAGGCTTCTCATTAACCAGAGCTGGGCTAATGAAATGGGGTAGAGCAGTAAATCAGATYTCTGAAAGGATCCTGAACATGAGGATAAATCGCCAGATGGATTAGGACTTTGGATCAATCTTATCTCACAGAGAAAATATTTTTGGGACTAAATTCTAAATCTTTGGGTCTTATCTGTGATTTAGAATTTATAGTTTTTGTAATGTAATGCTGGCAGGAAAAAAAAATCAGGTAATAATGAGTGTTCTAGAAGCTGTGAAGAGTCAGCCAARGAATTAGAACATTCCCCTCATCACTGGCAGTCAACACAAAGCTATCAGGACTTTAGGGATTTGATTGCTATGCATCCTTGTACAAGTAGGGGAAGCTAAGAACAAGAGAGAACTGACTGCCATGGAAGATTTGAATGTTAAGAAGAAAGGGAAAAAAGTATATTTTCTCTTCTCTATCTATTACAATTTAACCTCTTTTGTCTTCTTTAGCCCAGGCAAAACCAGCAAGTATGTGATTCTTACCTTAATCAGAAAAATTTCTGTAAAATACCTGGATATGTGTGTCTTTTTTTCACATTTATGTATGGAAACCCGTCCTTGGCAGTTTCTAGTTTTGCTTAATCTTATAGTGTCTTTATCATCATGTCTTCCATGTCTTTCATTTARCATCCTGTCTTGTCATTGCTATTTAGAAGTCCATTTGACATAATTGCTTCAGTGCAAGAGTGAATTCATTCTATGCTTCCCATATCAAAATCCTAACAATAAAAATTTATAGGAGTTACAATTTTTTTTTAAATCATTACTGACACTTACTTTGTTTAAGTAAATACTCCTGCTAATTTAAAGAGATAAATAAAATTTATTTTGATATAACTGTGTCCTGAATTCTTCTCAGTCAAAAAAAACTCAAGAAAAATTCCATAATTTAACTTACCATACAGGCTGCTTGTTGATTTGCTATATCTTTAATAGCTTCAGAATGTAAAGTAATAAATTCCCCAGATAATTTAATGATCAAAAGAAGTCCAGATACGGCAAACATATGACTCTTCACTGACCTAAGTTTTCATTCATGCTTCATAATGTTGTTTCCCATCTGAAATTCCCTGTGATGTCTTCATCTTAGCATTTCTCAACTTGTTTCTTCACCCGAAATCATAGTTACTAGGAGTTCAATTATTCATCTAAGTAGCAGTAACTCTGAGGCATATTGACCTTTTTTCAGAGACCGTTAACATTTTCAACACTTTCCACTTTACACATTGCTCAAAAGGAAAGTGATGAACAGTCCTTAAGCTGTGGGAGACATCACCTGGAAACAGCAGAACTGTCCATTGATTCCTCAGCCCTGAAATGTATTTGGACCCAGTTTCCACTGCGTAGCTGCTACTGGGCTATGAGATCTATGGGCTGGGTTTCTTTCTAAGTCTGAGTTTTATTTGCTAAACTTGTTTGAAAAATCCCCAAGCTTTTTCATCTTTTCTCTTTCCATCAATGTAACATGAATTATATTTTTTTATTCAGTAATAATTATTAAGTACAAGGATGGGAGGAGGGGCAGGGGAAGGGAGCATGTGGAGATGAAATGTATTTTCCACACCTAAATATAATTTATTCATATATAATGAATAAATATAAATGTAATCGGATGTGTTCAAGGCTTTGGAAATGAGCTCAAGGATATCTTAATCAAGAACAAAGGCCAAGTGAATGGTTGCTGAGTTTACTCTATATTCTTCTTTCAAACAATAAAAATGGAAAATAKATTAAAATTACATTTAAGAAATTAGAGGACACTTCATTAACTTACTTCATCCTTAAGATACATGCATGACTCTGAGTAACATTAATAGTAGCTATATGTGTGGAGCTATGTGCCGTACTAATGAACTTTGCTGTTTTGTGGCAGATCGTCAGTGAATAATTTGTTAATAGGCATTCACCTGTGGGTTTCCTTTTCAAAATAACAGCATGAAACAAGAGAAACTGAATGTTTAATCATGAAAAACATACATGAAATCCTTCTTACTTAAAAAAAATAAATAAACCAAAACCAACAAAAAAAACCCACAAAGCAAAACAAACAAAAAACCCTTAAAAAATGTAACTTAGAAACAATATAGCAATTTTGTTATGCTGTTTTATTGTACCTAGAGCATGAAGCAGTCAGACATGAAAAAAATGTAAAAGATGTTCCTCTTACAAAACCAGGTAAGCACTCCTGCATTTTATGTATTCATTAYTTTTGAAAATGTTTTTGAAATAAGTACTGAAATGCAATTGCTTATGACAAATGTCAAAACTGTGTCTCTGTGGTCTATTTTGATATAAAGAATGGCCCTGGCATGTCATACCCACAACTAAATAGCACAATACGTACTTGTAATGCTGATCTTYGTTTCAAGATATAGACATATGAATATATCAAAGGTCAAATTTCTGCTTCTGTAATTCCATTGATGTCAAAAGCATATGGCAGCAAAAAATTTGAACTTCTTTCTGAAATTGCTTACTTTAAATGATTTCATTTTGTTATTTGTGCCTTTTATTTGTATTTCACAGTCTTCCTGTATGAGTTARCCTCTCAGAATGAGCAATAGTTTAATTTTCATCCATTGTAGATATCATGTGATACATTATTCAGACCTTGATCTGGCTCTATTCATCACCTGTGGTGAATGTCTCTGATATCATAACTCATGCATAGACTCGCTTGTACAAGACAGAGAAAAATTGCTGCTGGTATAGGAAAGAGCATTGTTCAGTTTCACTGTGGACTATCATCATGGGTTTAAAAAAATATTTTCTCCATGCTTCTTCCTGAAAGGAAATAAGGAAAGAATTAAAATTTTTATTGTTGATATTAGTCATCCTTGACTATAGCAAAACAATTATCATCTGTAATCAGAACAACCCTACAAATATTATTGATTTTAGATTATTATGAATTGCTGTGAGATTACTAAAAATTTTGTTTTGATATGCAGAAAACATATAGAACAAACAAAGACATTCTCTGCCACAACAATATTATGCTGAACCTGACTGTTTTGACCATTTTTCTTTTCTCCTTTTACTTTGCAGTCAAACCAAAAAACACTGCAAGTAGGTGTCAGGACTTATTTCTTATGGAATAGAAACCTTCTTTTAAGATGCATGTTGTCTCAATTTGCATTTTTGCAATTTTGTCATGTTAGAGATGCTATTTTCTTGCTTATCCTACAGATACTCTTGTATTCTGTCTGCTTGCTAACAGCTGAACACAGCAAAACCAAGCACATTTATAATGTAACATTGTGAGGCTGCAACCTGCACACTCTGTTTGCAATTTTTACTTCCTAGAAAATAAAGTAAATTACAGCAAAACTGTAATTCAGATGAGTTTAGATGAGTGTAGATGTATAATTTATATATATTCAAATACATTGTTTATTGAAAATAAGCAAATAGCATGTAGCACAACTGAATTAGATAACCTTTTCCTAGCTCCTTTTACCATTTGGAAATTACTTACATCATTAATTCACTAAGCACGTTGCTGGCCTTGTTCCAATAAAAGCTTTTTTTAATAAAAAACTTAAATTAAATTAAAGAAGAGAAAGGAATGTTTCTAATTTAGATTAGATTTAAGGAGGATTCAAGGAGAATTTGTCACATTGCAAAAACTAGCAAAAAAAAGTCTTTGGATAATGTCTTTTTTAAGGTCATTTTTAAGACTTCTGAGCAGATAAAGACTGGGATCTATGCTAATTGTGGAAAGTCATTGCACATTACATATTGCAAATCTGTCCTGACAAGAATCAGGACAGTGTTTACCCTGCACACGCTGAATTGTGAAAATGCTGAAGCATGGACCTTCACAGMTGAATTTGGTTTTGCCTCTTTAGCACAGGATCTATGTTTTCTTTTTGGTGCTTTGCCTGGCACATCAAGACCAAACCATGTATTATTCTGATAAAGTAAGCTGACAATGAGACAAGGCAACCTGATTCCCTTAAGTTTCCTAAACTAGTCACCAGTGTTAGGTGCTTMAAGTTACAGAAGATGAATACCTGCTCTTAAACACCTATGGGAAACACAATGTTCCTCTGAACCCCAGGGGCAAACTGTGAGCACATGGAATCTGAAATGTGCCTACACTGAAGGGTCTCCCACAGCCCTAAACTGCAGTGTTCAGTTTTTGAGTTATMATTGCAAAATTATTATTTCCTGTGAAGCTATCCATGGGTTTATTTCCATTTTTGCTAGTATTTGAAGAAAAAAAATTGCTCTATTTGATTCCATTGTTCAGTTTTGTTAAGTCTTTTTTTCACTGGATCTGTTTACTGACATTTGGTGTCTTCTGCACTCATTTGTCTGAGACACTGGTGATGGCACTCACTACTGTTAGAGGACCACCAGAGATTTAAGTGACTATTTCYTCATACTTTCTGAAATAAGGATCATTTTAACCCAAATTCACTGTCTACAATGCTTTTATATCAAGAGCAATATTAACCTCGTATATTGTGAATACAAGGAATAGCCAAGATATTTTCCCTTGACCTTTGCAGAAGGATGGTTGTACAACATCCTTGAGCTTATATTCTGCTGTTTGAAATGATTATAAAGGTTAACAGTGCCTTTAGAAAAAGAAAAGAAAAAAAAAAAAGAAAAATAAAGAAAAATAGTTTCAAGCAGACCTATGGTCATTTGCAAAAGCAATTCTATATACACTGCCCATTTTAAGCAAACTATCCTTGAATAGGTTTAACTTAAGATTTTAAACACTAGAGCTATCTATTTTAAATTTATTTTCTCACCTTAAAGAAGAACACTTAGTTGGATCACTGCCTTCTTTATTTATAGAGGTCTTTATAGATTTGCTTCATATATTTCTTAGCCATGGGTGCAGTATAYTTGCCTTAACCTGAACATAGCTATCATGTAATTCAGTATGAGCTGTAGTAATGGACTCAAAATAACCACTGATTTTGGAGTTCAGGTCTAGTAAGAATGTAAAATAAATTCATATATTTATCCTGGGCTGAATTAATTCACACACTGTATCTTGTTCAGTCTTACTGCAAAAGCAAATGGGGTTTTAGTAAAGAGATTGATCATTAAGTGAATGCAGTATAAACAAAGAGACACGGCTGATTTTGAAAACTACCCAAATTAACAACACAGACAATTTTATAGTAGTAACTTGCTGCCGTGATCTAAACTGGCAGGCTACCAAACAGCCCCTCACTGAATTTTAAAAGCAATTAGTAAATCATCTTATCTTTCACTAGTTTTGTTTTGGTCTTTGACAGCCATTGATCATATATCAAACTTGAATTTGTAATGAAACAGAATTTACTTCCTACATGCTGAGTAAAGACTCACAAATTGTGAGACATTACCTTGAACAGAAAACAAAGTAGTGGCATATCTTATACAGTCAGGAATACCAAACTACGGTTTGCAATCAAGAGGAAGAATATGTAGGCTGTCATTTTTTAAAATCCCCTAAGAACTGGCAAAACACATTCCCATTTAGTTCTATAATGAAAGCCCTGTGATAGGGGTGATATGTTTCCCGGTGCTCTCAGAGTAAGCAGAAGTTTGTTGATGCWTTGAGAAGAGGAAATGGCCTTTACATTTCAYGCAACAGAGGGTCAAACCAACAGTSAAYAGTCAGCCCGACAGTCTTCCCATACCTGACTGTCTAAGGAAATCAGTTAATCCTAAATTAGGGAACATGCATGTAACTGGACCCATCCAGATCCCTCAGAGAAACACTCCCTCAATAAAGAGTTGAGAGCATGAATCCTTTTCCTGCATTTAGTGCCTCAGAAACAATCTTTGTTTTTTCTTCTAAAAATGAAAAAACATATTAATTATTCCATGGGTCACAGCGCCGTAATGTATCTGCTTCCAGAAGCTATGAGCAAGATTATAAGCAAAAAGGTAAATATGAAAGGACTTTAGCATGTTAGCATTTAATAGCAGCAAAACTGGCCTTTGCTGAATGCCAGTGGTGCCAAAGCTTTGAGCACTGACATTTACAGGTCTCCTTATGGACCAAGACCAAAGTTTCTTGGGATGTGTTTGGGAAAATGATGTTTAATTGCTCAGTCTTCCTGTTGAAAAAGCATTGACTGAAACATTTTCACCTTGGTATGAGCTCATGTTCATCTGAAGCTGAAACTCAGCAGGAAGAAAGTACAGAGATAACTCAATCAAAGGAATACCCTGAAATATTTTGTGATCTTATTGCTTTTTTGTCCTGCTCTAATTTCAAGGAATAGAGGCTTTGCTTGGGTAGTGAGGTCATTCTTTTTCTTTCAAAATGTGTTCTTACATTAAACTGGGACTAATGAAGTAGCGATGGGTAAAAATTTCTTGGACTCAAAATGACTATTTAATTTCTTTGATTCAAAATGAGAGGTGATGGTTTACACCAGAGAAATTCTATCCATTGGTTTGAGCAATTTTCATCAATTTTTATGGGTATTACAATAGAACMGGAATATATGCTTCTTTTGTGCTAGGTGGTGTGCAAAGATGTAGTCAAAATCTCTCAAGAGATTTTACTCATAAAAGGCAAGGCAAATTATCAGTGTAGAAGACAGGAGTCTCTACAGGTATTCAGACTTTGGCTGGGATGTGAGGATGATAAGAAAAGAGAGATAAGAATTAAACTGCATACATTTTTTGGAAAATAGCATAGTCAGATATGACCATGAAGGCACGCTTAAAAATTAAATATTTGCTTGCTGGAAAGCTTTGATTGGTGTAGTGTTTGCATTTGCAGGAATCATTGCATGCTGGATTATAGTACTTCAAAGAGTGAGACTCTTAGCTCTCAGTGTGAAATTCTGTGTACACGCCCATTGTTAAAGCACATTTGTTTGTAAATTAATATCCAGCAGTAAAAGTAGCAGATGAAAGAGAAGAYCTATTTAAATGTTTGTTTACCCTGAAAAAAAACATGGTTCTGAAACTCTTGCTCTTTTCCTTCCCTTCCCCACCCCCTTYCTCTTCATTACTGGTTATTTTCCTGGAGAGCCAACAGCTGAAATGCCAACAGCAGGTAAGTGTTCCATTTTTCTGGTGTGCCTTATGGAAGGAACTAATGATCAYAGTATTGATTAATGCATGCTGCCCATCAGCAAGGAGCAGTGATAACACAAAGCAACGCGGGTGAACAGACAGTGCTGCACTGTGCAGGTCTCTGCCACAGGCGCTTCTGACCAGCTGGAAATGAGATTTCCACCATTCACTTTCTGCAGAGTGTTTTGGTGAGCTAGACACAGGTGATCCTCACCGAGAGAGCTGGTGTAAATCAGGTTACACACRCACCAGAATACACTGAAGAAAGTGTTGCTACGACTGGCTGGACGTCACGAAGTGCAAAAGAACAATTTGAAGGCAGCCAGCTATTTGTGTGCTGTAGTCAGCAGGGAATACTGAAATGGGCTCAGATGCCTGAAGCGATCACTTTGCTTAATTTCAATCTGCCTTGTTGAATGGAGTCACAGACCAAATGCATTTGCAGCTGGGGACAAAGGATGCCCAAAAGAAAAAGAAGCACATGTTCTAAGTGAAGGTAGATTAGGAAAAAAAAAACAAAAAAAACCCAAACCTAAATAAATCACAATCTATTGCTGCAGGACATCTGGATGGTCACATTTGGCAGTTCTAAAGGTCCATCTAGCTCCATATCCTGGGACTTTTTGTTTGTTTATTTCTTTCAGATGTTTGAGATAGCTCTGGTAAAGAGAGTAAGAAGCAAGCAATAGGCAGAGGCCTTCCCTAGTGTGTCTTGGCCACAAATAAATAGATTCATCTGGCAGTAGTTAGGAAATTACAGAACTCAAGTGCTTAAAGTCTTTATCAGCATTTTCTGAACTACTCTGCAACCAGTAATATTCAAATGATTTCCAACAACTCTGTATAAAGCCAAAAACTGCTGCTGCCACTAAGGGTAGCAGGCTCTGTTGCATATTATAGACATTGTGAGACACATTTACCACCGTAATTCTTCCAGGGAAATTACCAGGCAGAGAATCTTTGCACAATGTACTTATTGTAAAAGCCCTGTATTTCTGATGCCTGTCACTTAATGTTATTTCCTTGCAATTCTTTCCAGCCACAAAAAAACCAAAGGCAACTAAGGAAAAAGAAGGTAGGAATTTAATCCATGTGTTCATATATATGTAGAAGATCACAATAAAAATAGCACGAGATTGTCACAATAAGAATAGCATGACTGCAAATTTGTATATATTGTTTGAAGCAACCCCTAAAATACTTGTGTTAATTCTCAAAGGATTTTACTTGAAAATTCTAGGTAAAATCTATTCAGCAGTCAGTATACCAAACTAACTGTGCTACTTTTTCTTTGTAGAAAAAACAACTGAGAAGAAACAGCTGAAATATGAAAAAACTAAAGGTAATAAAGGGATGAAAACCTCTGCAAACAGCAATAAAAATGYAAACATTCAGGTTTGGGAGCTTTTATGAGATTGGAAAGAGGAGCTCTGTTAGTCTTTCCACATTTATGCAAGCATGCCAAAATGATGAAATTGTACATAAATCCCCAGTAATTGAATGTCTGGTGCCTCCTTTGCATATGAGTATCAAGGATTACATCAGCACACCCAATCTGGCTGCARAGCTGCCCTGCCTGTGACCCTCCCTGGCTGGCACAGCTCTGACCTGTTCTGCCCCTGGCTCTGGAGCCGAGGATTAGCAGTCCCCACTCAGCCTGCTCTTGTGCTCCCTACCGAGGCAGTGCAAAGTTCATCTCCTCAGCTTGTGTGATGCCTTAGGTCACCAGCTTCATGCTGTAAAATAGCTGCACTGATAACAAGAAGAATTTTTTGTCTGCACAAAACAGACTTCACGATCACCCACATTCTCTCCAACCTCTTGGACACAGCACCACCTTGACTGTTTCCTCACAGTAATATGCAAATGGGGGAATGGTTTCTGCTATACTGCTAAAGATAATTAACAGCCATAAATTACACTACTTTATTAAGTGATTGAAGGCATAAATATCTTTTCTACGTTGGTTAAATCCAGTGACTTGCATGTAAAATTTCTATATTGAAATCATCAAAGGGTAACAGTGACAGTGATGAAAGTTCACTAAACTACTATCTAGAGGCAGTTTGCTTATGTGGCTTTACTGGATGGAAAATTTCTCTCTTTAAATGATTTACTAGGAAAATAACAAAAAAAAAATCTGGTTTATAAAAATTCCTATCTGAAAGATGATTCCAGAAAAAAATCATGTTTCTTTTTGAAATTTATTTCAGTATTTTGACCTGAAAATGTTGATTAATTTATTATCTATGTTTTTTTAATGTGTCCCACCAGTAAAAGAAGATCCACGACATCAAAATGTGACATCAGGTACATGATTTTCCTTTATTTAAAGGATGAAGTAAAGTTGTAGTTTGTTGTTTGGTTTTGTTTCGTTTGCTTTTTGGGGTTTGTTTTTTGTAAGGGAGATCACACAATACCTTCACATTTTTAATTCAAGTCTATGAGACATGATGTGAGACAAGCCAGGTAATCAAATCAAAATACTTATATCTCGTTTCTGTGAAGAATGAGTTGCTGAAATGGTACCACCTTTTCTTTTTAATTGCTTTACCACCTTCCTAAATTTTTAATGCACATTCAACTGATTACTTTATAAAACAAGAGGTCTGTAATTAATTTGACAGCGCAGTATTTAAAACATTTTTTTTTCCTCGTAGAAAATCTTTTCTGTAAGAAAGTCACATGGGGAGAAACATGTTCCTTTTGTTTTCTCTCACATTAATAAATATTGTCTCCCATCACAGTGTGCCCCAATTCCACTCCAAAAAAAAATGTGAATAAAGATAGAGCATCTCAGGAGAAAATCTCTTTCCATTGTTAACCATGTTTTTACTAGTTTACAGCGAAAGGAAATACATGTTCCATATTGTTGACTAGAATAAATTAATACCTATGACTTCAGTGGAACTGCACTATTTCATGACAGACAAGGATCAAAGTCATTGATCTCACCTGAGGTTAAATGGTTTACACTGAAAATATGAACTACGTGTGAATATGATTCTTCCTAATGCAATTTTGTAGTCTTAATCTAATGAGGAAAGAATTTAACTTCTAATCATCCAGGCTATTTTGTTTTACATGATTTTTTCACCTCTTTACTGTACATAGAATAACTTAGAGTCCTATACACATGATATGATATAAAATGTGCAATACATGTGAAGCGATGTGTATCTATTTATTTAGAAATATTTATTTATCCATATGTACAAAATTTAAATCATAGAATAATAAAAAAGATACCTAAGTACAAAGCAAGGGCAGAACAATCTGTAATCAATGAAGAAACAATAAAAATGGAATGCTGAGGTTAAACATGAATTTGTTACCGTGTGTAAGTATGAAAGTATTTGCACACAAGGGTCATTTTGTTTTATAAGGCAATTACATTTACATAAAAGAATAACTTGGCTTTTTTCATCTTATTTTCTTTAATCAGGARTGCAGAGATATGGGGTCAGATATAGATTTTCATTCCTCTTGATTAMTATGTTGTTAACTGATAGATACAGAAGGTAGAATCTATGCTGTCAAAAATTTATTGTTATTTTATTTATTAATACAGAWTTTTTATGGATCAGGAAGTGCTAATCATAACTTATAATGAGTRCATTAAACCAAAGATTTTGCCATGAGAGAGAAGAATTTTCTTRTGGATCAAAATCCTAAATTTAGTGTAAAAGAGGAATGTACTAATAATTTTTTGTCACTGGACTTTTTCCTGCCCACCATCCTCCTACAAAGTTTACATCATTCAAAAACTGTGYTTCTGTGGCTTTCATTTACAGTAATTACTATGATTGTTTAATTTAATTGTACTTTATCACTGGGCAATTATTCTCAATTGGATATTTCTTGAATCCTAAGCAGGTCTGTGCAAAACCAACTTTTCACAATCAGTTTTGCAAACAGAACTTCCTATGTAAGTGTTCTCAAAATATTCTTTGTCCACTGAAAAGAATAGTTAGTTTTCAGACAATGGGTGAAAGCTTGTCAAAAGAACATTAAAATTACTCTTTTATGGATGTTGTTTTTAGGTAATTGCACAAATTGAGGATTTAAAASTTTAGAGCAAATCCTAGGTCATGTGTAATTGAGTTGAAACTTGATAACTTTGGCCTGTTCTGTTTGCAGAGGAAGCTAATGCTTTTTCCCCAGTACACTGAATACTAATACTTTTTTTCTGATAAATGGAAGTAGAAAAGGATTTAAACATTCTGAGCTAATCTAAAACTTTAAATAGTAAATCTTTCAGMCTTCAAAAGCTGAATAGAGTAGATTCCCATGTTCTTAGATTTCGCTTAGAACCCTTCGACCTTTCCCTGATATTAAAAAGCAATCAGATAAAGAAGAATAAGCAATTTTAAAAGCTGTGTATAGCTGCAATTTTAGAATGCTCCACATCTGAACAGAATTTTAAGCAGTACTGTACCGCACATAAACAATGGTTCTATGTGCAGTCGACACTAAATTACACTCTCCTGTAGATCTGCAAGTAATTAATTAGAATGCTTTCCTCTTCTTTTCCTCTCCTAAATGTCAAAATTGACATCTATACCGAGACTGAAATTTACCATCAGTAAAAAAAAAAGGAACCCTTGTAACTCCCTTTTTTTTCTCTATCTCATATCACATGTGTTTGGAAGCACACAGAAGCATTGTTTTTTTGACTCTTAGAATGAAATATAAAGAGTGTAAAAATTCAACTCTTTTGTGAGGATTATCTATCATGGTCTTTATATAAACACGTGAACTCATATGAAAGTTCTAGTTTATTTCAAGGCTAGTATCAGAGAAAGAAAATCTAAAAGTGATTGAAAAGTTGATTATATTAGTTCTAACTATCTTCCAGCTGCTCCCTTGGATAATAACTCTGGAACTGTATTGCAAATTCAATATCAAATGGATATTGCATTTATAATATAGTTATTTGAAGGAGTTGATGTTTTTACTGCCCACAGATGTGCAAATGTGGCAGAAATAAAGAGAGGCTGTGTTGCAAGAACATGAAAATGAGAAATAATGAAACTGATATTATTCCCATATGTGTTTTGGTTGGTTTGTTTTTTGTTGGGTTTTTTTTTTTGTTGTTGTTGTTGTTGGTTTGTTGGTTTTTATGTTGTTGTTGTTGTTTTTGGGGTTTGTTTTTTTTTAATTAGGGAAAAGTATGGATTATACTCGAGGTCAGGTGAAACCAAACCAGTCATGCTAACTTCCTTGTAAACAGATGTGTCATAAATAGCCTTACATAAATCGTGCATCTACCCTTATACATTATTAGAGATTTGAAACTTTCTTTGACATGAGAACTGTTATATTTACTGTTTAGTTAAAGAACTTGCACTTTTGTGAAAACTGAAATTAACATTAAGCAGAGCTGGAACATTGCTTATATGAACATGCTACAAAAGAATTTTTATGGAAGGAAAAGCACCAGCAGCTAGATTTTTCATCTACTTCTGCAATGATAGAGATTCTCAAATACAATACAGATGTTCAAACATTTTCCAGTATAAAGAACAATCATTTCATCCTATTATCAATATATATTCAATGACACATATTGAAACCTCAACAGCTGCAGGGRGTGAATTCATTACATGTCTTATAAGCAGGGGGGGGATTGGTTTATTATCATGAGGTTGTTAGAGTGCTTTGTACTTTCTGTCTTGTAATATATTTTCCAAAGCAAAGATGATTTCCAAATCTGCAAAAGCAGAAAGTTTTATTTGATGTGAGGTTTGTTATGATAACCTTTTGAGAGACCATGGAGTAGGTTTCATCAGTGCTGAGGGAATGTAAACTTGTCAGCAGTGCAATGTGTAAGATTCTTCCCATGTACAATTATTTTGAAAGAGAGTGAGAYTGCTTCATTTTTGCCTTGGTTCTGGAACTTCTGATGAATTTAGAGTAAAATACGATATTTTTCATTGTTCTGAAGGAGCAAGTTTTGTGAAACTCATTAAGCACAAATATTGGTACCATTCAATAATATAGAAACRTATAAAAGCTTTAAAACAATGTACAATAATTAAAAGAGGAAGCAAGAACTTCATCTCAGCAGTGCAGGGAGCTCTCACCTATAGACAGGTGATGAACTGTGGATACGATATTCTCTGCTCTCCTTGCCACCCAGTCCCTGTGTCTCATGTGTMTGATGGTTCTGGTATTCTCTCAGCAGTTTCTTCCAGAGACTCAGCTGTATAATCTTATACTGATTAAAATTTTCTCACCTGATTAAAAATTTCACTGATTACAAATTCCCACAGAATTCAGCAATAAATCCCTAATATGCATGTTGATGTTTTCTGGACATAAGAAAGTATGCTGTTGACATAAGAAAGTCTGCTGTTGAAAGAAAGAAAATAATCAGAAGGGACTGACACTCTGAGAAGTTTCAAAATCTCTTGTAAAAGATATGTTCTCATTGATTTACAAACTCTGTGTCTACTCAGGGTATTCTTATTAAGATTTTCCGGGGTGTTCTTCACACTCGAGCCCAAGAATTCAGCATGAGAGCAGGATAAGCTGTGCACTAAGGCTGCTTCCATGAGAGTCCATGTAGAGCAGCCTCCATTCTGTGCTCATACGGGAATGTCTCAACATTTAGTGTTGGTCAGAATTGTGAGACCCAAGCCTGTATATGCAGGTCTTCCAGCAACCTGTTGTTGGCCATTTCATTATTCTGAAGTTGACTTTTAAACAAATACTTGGAGAYTAAATCTCATCAGGCTTGTCTAAATGAAGACAAGGGAAGAATACTGCCCTTGAGAAGATTCATATGTTCAAAGAGCACATTTAAACCAYGTCAAATGTTGGAGTGGCCATTTATTAAGAACTAAGGTGACCTTGATTTAATTGTGAATTTTTCACTGAGGCTGCTTTAATTCTGACTGGGCATCTACACAATATTTTTTTGGATTAATTAATCCCTTTTAAATTTAACTTGAATTAGTCCTGCTGATTGTTTCTATATAGAAAAGACATCTATGGGGGAAATTTCAGCTGTATTTTGGTACCTGGATAAAATGAAATCTTTATGATCTGTCCTGAAACTGATTAAATGTCACTGRAAAACTTCTAATAGATTCTAATAAGTTTTGAAGCTCAAAATCTGTGAAGACACACCACAAAGGACAACAAAATATYAGGTTTTATGTTAATTATGAGTTTATAAATAGCCTCTCAGCATAGTGACATTGTAATTTAAATTATGAATTACACTGATTCTATTTAAATGCCCGAAGAGTTAAGTTTTATGTTTTGAAATAAAAAGACTTCACAGTGATAATATAAAAGCACTT